CTATTAATGGGTAATATTAATATATCAATATATTATTAATATGCTATATATATATATATATATATATATATATATATATATCAGCTTTGCAAGATAAAAAGGGTTTTGGAGTTGGACGGTAGTGATGGCTGTATAGTATGAATGTATTTTATATATATATATATATATATATATATATATATATATTCATTAATATAGTATATACATACTCTAGAACATTCTTCATTCTTAAAAGGGAAAGAAAGTCTGACATATGCTACAAAATTGGTGAAACCTTAAGGACCATGAAAGAACTGAAATAAGCCAGTCACAAAAAGAAAAATACTGTATGATTCTACTTTTATGAGTCAAAATCATAGAGACAGAAAACAGAATCAGGAGCGAGGGGGAGAAGGGAATGTGAAGTTACTGTTTAGTGGCTACTATTAATATACTATTAATGGGTACTATTAATATGCTATATATATTATATATAATATATATATATATATATATATATATATATATATCAGCTTTGCAAGATAAAAAGGGTTTTGGAGTTGGACAGTAGTGATGGCTATATTGTATGAATGTATTTAATACCACTCAATTAGACACACCAAATGGTTAAGACAGTAAACTTTATGTTATGAGTATTTTACCAAAATAAAAAATGAAAAAAAGAGCACATATATTGATATATTGTATTGTACTGTATTCAATATGGGGAGAAAAGATTAATGAACTTAAAATCCAATACACAAGACAAATTGTAATCAAGAAACAATGGCATCTACTAGGTTCTTTATTGGTCTGCAGAAGGTGCTAGCTTAGCATGGACACAGAGATAAGGATGTGGACATTGTGAACAAAGATGGATGTAGCAAAAGAGGTGGCCACGTACTTTAAAATTCCATAAAAGTGCTATGGAGTTAAGTGGTCCTTAAGGTTTCACCAATTTGAGCTGAGTTTACTAGGTGAAGAGAAATTTGAAATGGTAACAAGAAGATATTCCAGGAAGAGGAAGGAAGAAACAAGGTTTCTTCTTCAATATATGTCCTCTTTTTTTTTCATTTTTTATTTTGGTAAATAAACTAAGAAGGAAAAGTCTATCTGGCTGAAACCAAGATCCAATGGCAGGGAGTGGTAGGAAATGATGCCAATGAAATAGCTATGTGGAAGTACATTATCCGTCATGGACAGTTTGTATCTCATTCTAAACCAATGGTCTTGGTCAGAAATGAGTTTCAGAGTCACTTGTGAAGCTTTGAAAATATACCCATATTTGCCATGGGAAATGTGGCTTAGTAGGTTAGCGTGGAGTCTGGGTATAGTGATTCACATATGCTCCCATAAGCACTGACAGGACATTACTAAATTTATTCTTAAAATAAAAGGAAAGGAGGAGACAAGATAGAAAGTTCCTAAATGTGCCAGGCACAGTGGTATCTGACTTTCCCAGCTACTTTGGAGGCTGAGGCAGAGGATTGCAAGTTTCATGCCAGCCTGGGCAACTTCACAAGTCCCTGTCTCAAAATAAAAAATGAGACCAGTAGAGTAAAGGACGGAAAGCAAAGGCAATGGGGAATGAAATTGATCAAATTATGTCATGTGAATGTACAAATATATCACAATGAATCCTACTATTATGTATAATTAAAATGTACCCAAAATATTTTTAAAAAAGAAAAGTTCCTATGTGACAGTCTGGATTAGGACAGTGGCACTAGGAAGAAAGGAGAGGAATAGATTCGAGAGGCACTGAAAAAGCCAAAGTGATAGGATCTTGTGGTTAGTGAAAGGGGATGGGTGAAAGGGAGAAATCAGACTTGACTCAAATTTCTATGTTAGATAATGGGATGATGGTAGATCCACTAACTGAGATAGCAAATGTTGGCATAGCTTCTAAACATGATGTCTAGCAGACTGGCTCTCAAAGAATAGGTGCTCAATAAATGTTTGCTGAACAAATTTTTTTAAAAAACTAATAAACTAATGATCAGACAACTGTGGATGAAAAAAAAATGAGTAGGTAAATGCAGGCTTATATGATGGGCTTTGTTGACTTTAGAAAAATCTTTTCATCTGGGGATAAGTGGAGTACAAGTTTGCAGAAAAATATATGCAAAGCCAAGGGTGGCATAAAAGAAAAAAGTATAAAAACTGGAAAGTATGGGCTGGGTTCCAGAAACAATGAATGTTTCCCTTTGCCTCTGAAATAGTGAGAAAGAAAGTTATGCGTATATAGTGGCATCATGATGTGGTATATCTGAAATGGGGCAGGGAAATTTTTAATTACTTTAGGAGGCAAGTTGAGTCGTGACTTTTGGATAGGGGTCTTCCATGATCTTTAGGATTGTGTTATTTTGAAATAATCTTACACCAGAAGTGGGATAGAATGGATTGGGACAAAAAAAAAAATCTAAAGCAAGAAAGGTCAGTTAGAAGGTTCTAATGAGATGAGAAGCAAAAGAAAGTAAGACATTGAACAAGGATAGTCAAAAAAAAAAAAAATGGAAAGGCAGGAGTAGGTTCAAAAATGAAATAAGAAAAAATTCAGCATGCATGACCTGACCCTAGACTGAGATGATTGAAAGTTAGAGCTAGATTCATGGTAAACCCTGAGTATGAAATACTTGGTTGTAATGAACATAAATAATGATGTCAGGAAAGTGAGCGGTTTCAGGTGAAGATAATGATTTTGAGCACTGGCAGGATGTCCACGTGGAGAAATATTTTGGGTAACTGGAAATGCAGCACAGCAGTTATCACATGGACTGAGGCCAGAAATTTATATTTGGGAACCACCAAACATGTGATGAATGAAGGAAGTTGTAAGAATGGATAAGTCGGTCAAGGACACAGAGAACACACGCATGAAGAAACTTATGGGGACTCATTTATTCTCAGCTGAAGAGAAGAAGAGGTGCAATCTGGAAGAAGAAAGAGGAATGGTCACAGAGAGACAAGAATAATCTAGAAAATGTATCTTTCAAAAGATAGGGAACAGAGCTTCAAAAGGAAAAGGGGAGTAAAATAGGGTTAAATAGAGAATGTGAGGTGTAAGAAGACTGAGATGGGGAAGGTTGGACTGCTGGCATGTGAGGAGGTAAGAGCAAGGATGCACGGTAAAGTTGGATTGTTGGATTGCAGAGGGCAAGGCATGTGGAGGCAGGAGGAGGCTGAGCACTTCCATATTTCCTCTGATGCTAGAGTCAAGGTTATTAGTGGCATGTCTCCTGATGTTATTGCCCTTTGGTTTTAATGAGATCAATGTCTCCTTCCATATATGGTCAAATAACATTCATTGAAATAATAGGGCAAGAAAAACTATGGGTGCAAACAGAGTTTGGAACCTTGAAATCTGAAACTTCATTCGTGAACATCTCCTGCCTGAGAGCATGGGGTCTCAACAACTTCCAGCAGTGAGACTCTCATGGTTAAAACTGCCATTTGGCATGACATACATGTGTCCCAGTTTTGCACAGCAATTACCTAGATACCATAACACCATTCAGTGAACAATCCTTTCTGGCACTAATTTGAATATTACTTTAATCAGAAACTAAATTCCCATGTAGATTTGTGTATATCTTTAAAATTTCTATTTCATTCCATTTTGTACCAAATGTGCTGGTTTGGAATTGGAATTGTCTTGAATTCCTGCATTAATTTGAGGAGAACTAACATTTTTACAATATTCAGTCTACAATAAAGAACTTTAAGTGTTCTTACATGTCCCCCAGTGCAATATAATTATTTTTCATATAGATCCTAATCTTGTTTTTTTTTCAATTTATAACTGCAATTCTTTTTTTTAATTTTTTATTGTCAGTGGTATTATTCCACACATTTTAATTGTGAAAGTGTATGTATAAATAAGAAAGATGTGCCTTCTCAGATGAAAAATTAGCATTTAAAATAAATAACCTAAAGCAAATTGAAGTTTGTAATAACATCTGACCCTACTGAGCTGATAAGTATGTACAAAAAAATCATTTTAGATAATATCATCAGAGAAAACAAAAACAACTACAAAGCAGGAAAACTGTTTGTTTTGCTTGTTCATTGCCCATCTAATGCCCCTTACATAAGATGAACTGTGACTATTTACAGTCAAAATGTAGAGTCAGTTTCCTCAGTCCTGGTCATAACCAGTGAGAGCTCCATTTTCCCATCTAGTAGCACACAAAGCCTGAGTTAGACTCTGGCTCTTTCCAGAGAAAAACAGCCCTTTTCATCTATGATGCAGGAATTAAATATCATTCATTCTCCTTGGCTACTCTGTCCCCTCCTGAGGGGCTGCTGGGACAGGGTAAAGGAATTTGTAGCTGTTTTAGAAACCCCCACGGTAAATCACATTCACTGAGGACAGAGTATTATCAGGCTAGACACATCCATGAATCAGAGAAGGTTTAGATTTTGCCTTTCCCTTTACCTCGGTCCTTTGAAACTTTTCAGTATGAATAACCTAATTAAAAATCTTCTAGACAACAAGTTGGCAAACTTTTTCTGTAAATGGCCAGATAGAAAGTGCTGTAGGCTTCACATGCCATATGATTTCTGTTGCAGCTACTTCACTCTGCTGTTGCATCATAGACAATAAACAAATGAGCCTGGCTGTGTTTCAATAAAACTTTATTTACAGAGCTAATGGTGAGCCAGATTTGGCCTGAGGGCCACTGTTTATAGATCCCTATTTTCTAACTGCAAATTTCCAAGCCATTACTTATTTTTTAAAACAAAAGCACTGCACTAGTCTCCACAGAAATATGTATGACAGGGTGTGAAGCCCTGAAATGAACAAAAAGGAAGAAAAATCACTAAAATGACTTCTTACCAATCTCTTGATAATGGTTCTGAGCACAACCATCATTTCTCTGTCTTATAAAGCACATTGGGATTGCAGTGTATAATAAACACACTTATTGCATTGCAGTGTGGTCATTGCTTTGGGCAGGAAGAGAGAACTGAATGGTAAACCACTCTTATTAGTAATGGCAATATTTGCTCTAACTTACCAATCTTGCACTGCATTGAAGGACTCTTCATTTGTGATGTCATACATTAAAATAAAGCCCATGGCCCCACGATAATAAGCTGTGGTGATAGTCCTGTATCTTTCCTGGCCAGCTGTATCCTAAAAAAAAAAAAAAGAAGAAAAAAAAAAAGAAACAATGAGAATGTCTCAGAAATAAGGCAAGATAGTTTTTGGAAATGATTAATAGTTTCACAAACCATCATAACAGAGAATCAGAAATGTATATACAATGTAAAACTGTTTTTACAGTCTTGTTTTTCCTTAAGATTTTCATGACAACTAGGCAATACTCTGAAAAATTCTTTTTTGGGGAAAGATGTAGCTCAAGGTGTCTACTTCATATGTTCATTTCCATTAAGCAGTATCTAACTATAGGAAATAAAAATGGAAACTATACATGTCTAAAATTTGTGGATCTTTAGTTTAAAACCAGAGGAATATATTAGATCCTTCCTATGTTGTTTATTGTCTGTACACTAATGCAAGCCACTGTTCAGAAAAAAAGGAAATTTATAAAAATATCTGTGCTGACATTATTCAACAATAAAATGAGAATAAAAATACATGCTGTGAGTGGATTTTGAGTCAGACAGCTGAGTTTGAGTTCCTGCACTTGCATTAGATAGCTAAGGAAACATGATCAAGTTTCTGAACCTCTATAAACTGAACCTCTCTAAGTTTTAGAACGCAAGTCAAGGTTACAGGAACTAATTCATGTATAGTGGTTCCTACACAAACAGTGGTTAATAAATGGCAAGTACTGGCTGTCATTCCTGAGATGTGGGGAGGCTGGCTAACCCAAGATAAAAGAGAGCAGCTTGCACATACAGGGGTTGCATGCCGACAAGAGAGTTGTAACATTTATATCTTGGAATCAGAGGCAGACATGTTATGAAAATGGCCGTTATATATCACATATACTGTAGCTGAAGAAATGTCTCCTCAATTCAATCAACTCTCGCCTCTTTATTCTCTCAGAATCTGAGATATCATTCAGAATCTGAATGCTCTTTGGTTTTCCCCTTTGTCACTTCCCCTGGAGACTCAGGTCTAACTTCTCTTTCCTTGTTCTCTAGGTGTTTACCATTTTGGACAAAATGTTATCTTTCTTTCTGATGTCAGCCTGTATCCTCTTTCTCCCCTTATTCCCAAGAAGTCTCTTCTGTATGCAAAGCGGATTCCAGCTCCCTCTAAGATCTAACAGGCCTTGAAGGGAGAGCTAATATTTACCATCAGAATGAAGTAAGTCTAATAGAGTCATTATTGGTAGCTGCTCACGTTGGATATGGGGCTGCTTCCCCACAGTCACCCTCCTGCTTGGCTGCTTCCAACCCACCATGGCAAAAGGGCAAAACGCATAACCATTCACTACTTCTCACATGTGTGACATATCCTATTAGACTCTGTAAGTTTAGAAAAAGATGATCAAGGATGTTGAGGACCAGTGAATGATTATAGAGAATATGGGGTATGAAATGGGACTCAAAATTAGCCATCAGTGTAGATTTCCATGAAGCCAACAATAATTATATTCTACTCTTGGAACAAGAATAAGTCTGGGCTAATGTTAAGATTTTTGTTACACAGTATTAAAGAAAAACAAGGTTTCAAAAGTAGGATGAGAACAAATCACTCTACCAAAATAGCAGAAACAAAGCAAAATTAGTGGGGAAGATCTTTTGGAACATACTTCCAATGGCAGAACATAAAAAGAAAAGATAGATTTCAGTACTTAAAAATTCTTGAATATAAAAAATGTTATAACATTTGAAAATGCATAACATTATAAAATTGAGGTGACAGTAAATCAAATGATAAATTGAGAAATAGGTTTGTATTATTTCAGAGACAGCAAAGGTTAAGATCTTTAATATGTAAAGTGGTGTCAGAATCCAAGGAGAAATATTAAATATTCTAATGTAAAAATTATTTATGAACAGTCACATAAATGGTAATTAGTAAATAGAATTCATTAAAATAAAGCCCATGGCCCCATGATAATAAGCTGTGGTGATAGTCCTGTATCTACCATAATAGTAGAAATGAAATGCATCCAAATTACATTCCAATACAATAGAAATTACCTGGCAATTATTTGAATATTTTATTGTACTTTGCTTACTGTTTTACAAATAATAAAGATGAAAATACAGATGGTAGAGATGACATACTCCATTTGGAATAATTGGGCCAAACACAAGGCAGAAAGAAGCTGATATTAAGCTTATCTGGATGTTTTCAGTCATGATTATCTGGATATTTGTATTCATTAAATTTAATCTGGTTAACAGCATATTTACTTTACTGAAAAAGAGAATGTGGATAAAATACCAAAACCAAATTCCCAAAGGCTGCATTTCAAAAAACCAGGTATAATCAAGAGATTTTTCAATGTTTTTCTTTTCTAGGGAGCAGAATCCCTTATAAACCAGTCAGTCTACTTAAAAATTTCCCCACATTTGGCTTGGCTTACTATTTTCCAGAACATATTATCTATAAATATAATCTTCTTATTTTTGTAATTTTTTTTTTCTAATTTCACCTCCTGTGAAGTAACTTTAAATGGCTTTCCTCTTGGTCGAATATCTTCTGGTCATTGACTGAGTAACAGGGGCACAGTCTCCATGCCTACTGCCTTCTCTACACAAACAGCTTTCCACTGATTTATCAATAAAGGACACAGCTAATGCACTGCAGACACTGCTAAAGGTGACCTAGACCCTTCCTGTCAAGCATGTTTTCAAACACAGACACTGAATAATATTGTGTTGGAAAACTGGCTTGCTTGCTTTCTTCCTGACCTTTTCCAGGGTGTCCCCTTTTCATAAGATGTTGACTTTATTGTGACAGTAAAGAAACTTCTTCTAATGTTACAAAATGTATCAATATCACATTGTGGGTGTGTTTAATCTTTGAGAAAGCAGAAAGAAATCAAGGCTCCATTATATTGTGATTGAAATGTTATGGGAAGCTGCTAGAAACCACAGGGTTGGTCAGCTATTACATCAAAATTTAAAAAAGGTGGGGAGGGCTAAATAAGGGAACAGCTTTCAAGAAAAATATATACAAGCTTTTAGAAAGTACTTAGCTCACAGCAAGAGGCCTGATCATCAACATCATTCTGATTTGAACTCAGAAACACAATCTAATTGGAGGTATTTGTCACCTACTTCTCTCAGGGAGAATAAGAAATTATACCAAGTAGGGAAAAGGTAATAAGAAACATAAGGGGGAAAATTCCTTCCAAATTAAATGAAAATATAAAGAATAAAACTAATCTAATAAACAGACATCAAGTTGACTCTATTGGTTTGGGATTCTAAAAACAATTTCTGGATTACAAACTCATTAGTATTTTCTTCCATTATATCAGGAAGAAAATAAGTCAGAAAAACACTTCATTACATTTGACATTTACTAATGAGGACAGAAGGTTATATTTGAAAGAAAAGGACATTTTATAATGTCAAGTGCCACTGATATAACTCAACGGGAACAGTGTCAGAAGATAACTGATTAGAATCTGCCTCTTCTCATTGTGCTCAGGAGACTGGCTCCAAGCACTGGCTTGCCTAGCTTCTCTCCGCAGATGACTATAATAACTGGTGGTGATACCTGCTGATTTTCTATCAATACAAGCATATAATGATTGAAAAACACAACTGGAAATCTTTTACAGAGAAAATGAGTGAAATAAATGTGACTAAAAGATTAAATTTTTCTTCCATGAGTGATAGCTTTCTTTTCCCTCTTTTTAAAGAAAAATAAACTCACTTTAGTTAGTTTAAATATTTTGATATCCAAATCATGTTTTCAGGAGAAATTTTTGGCTTTAAGGGTAGGTTTGATTAGCAAATAATTGAATATGTGTCAGGAAAAGAACTGTAAAATGGAAAACAGTAGAGCTTGATAAATAGTAGCCAGGAACTTTTTCAATTAAAGTTTTGGCATTTATGTTTTTGTCTTTGCCTTCAAATGTCTTCCTCAATGGAACTTTTTAAAGTTCCATTCTCAAACCCTTCTGACGTCATGCAGAGATAATACACAGTTTTAAGATTGAGGGAATTGCTTTCATGTGTAATGTATGAGTTATATTGTAATTTGTTTCTTGTTTTAGATTTTAATTATTTGTGTATTGCATTAAAGGGAAATGGAAAGAGCCATTACTCAAATAATATCACCGAAATCAAAATACACTCAGTGACTGTCGAGAACGATAAAAATAGATTGAAGGACAGAAAATCCTGGTGCATGTTTAAACAGGTAATTTTCTAGGTGGAGAAACCTTGTTGTTCATCAATCAATAAAGTAATTTAAATTAAGCTAAAGAAAATAATATGTAATAAATTGGGGAGTCAATAGAAATAGAGGGCTGTAACCCAAGACAGAAAACACTTTCACTATTGAGTTTCTTTGGACAGAAAGATGTGAGGTACAATAAGTGGTCATTCAGAGTACAAGCAAGTGGTTAGTTCTTAACTAGTACTTTGCTACATTTTACCTGAAGAAATTGTTTGGAATTATCAAAGAAAAATTAAATTATGCTAAGTAGAGTTTAATATTAATTCTGATTTATTCATTTATGCATTCAACAAACATCTAGGAAAGTTATTACTCATTAGGGACCATGGCAGGAACATGATAAACTTATTTTATCTCTTTTAGGCATATATTGTATGTTTAAAAATTCTACTCCTTAAAGAATTTTATTAATCATAACATCATATTTCCTACATTTCCACAAAGGATTAACGTTGTGAAGAAATGTTTCTAAAGAACCAGACAAAACAGCAACTTAATATTGTATTGGAGACAATTGTACCCAAGATGAGGCCTCTAATTCGTGGTTAGTATTATGGGTTGCATTATGTTTCCCAAAGAGGTATGTTTAAGGTCTCACCTCCAAACTGAATGTGACCTTATTTGGGAAAAGGGTCTTTGCAAATGCAATCAAGTTCAAGTGAGGTCATACCAGATTAAGGTGGGTCCTCATCCTATGACTAATGTCTTCATAAAAAAATAGAACATAGTCAGAGGAAGCCCAGAGAAGGCCATGGAATAGCAAAGGCAGAGACTGCTTCTGTAAGACCATGCCAGTA